CTGCTACGCCCTCCTTCACGTCTGCCTGAGCGCCTCCATCACTTAAGGTGGTTTCTCCTCCCTTCAGTGATGTCAAAGGAGCTCTACCCCTTTCCTTCCATATGGTTTCCTCATCTCTACTGGTGTCCCACTCGCCCATCCCGCACTGGGAACAGGGTCGACGGGATAGACTGTCCGCGTTCTGATGAGCTTTCCCCGCTCGATGGATGATTTCGAAATCATACTCCCCGATTAACTGTAGCCATCGTGCTACTTGGCCTGCACGCTCCCTGAAGTTAATGAGCCACCTTAAGGCTCCATGGTCTGTCCTCACTGTGATTCTTCGTCCATAGATATACGGTCGGAAGTGCCTTAAGAACGTCACCACAGCCAGCAATTCTCTCCTGGTGACGCAGTAATTTTGTTCTGCCTTTTTCAACACTTTACTAGCAAAGGCTATGACCCTCTCCTGGCCATCCTTTCTCTGTGCTAGGACCCCTCCTATCCCTGCGTCACTGGCATCTGTGTCAAGTATCAGCTCTCCATCTGGTTCCGGGTAAGTGAGGACAGGCGACTCCGTGAGGCGCCTCTTCAATTCCTCGAAGGATGCCTGACATTCATTGGTCCACTGGAAATCCCTGTGTTTTTCCGTAAGCCTGTGCAAAGGCTTCGCCACCGCTAAAAACCCCTCTATAAACCTCCTGTAGTAGGACGCTAGTCCTACAAAACTGCGAACTTCCTTTACTGTCTTGGGGACTGGCCAATCCCTGACCACCTTGATCTTATCAGGATCCGTGCTAATGCCCTCCGGAGTTACTACATGACCGAGGTAGCGAACTTTCTGTTTGAACAGATCACACTTAGCAGGCTTTAACTTTAATCCTGCGTCTCTCAGGCGCTGCAACACGACCTTCAGTCGACTGAGTTCCTCCAGTATAGTCTTGCCGAACACTATAACATCGTCCAGATACACTAAAAGTGTTTCCCAGTGAAGGCCACTTAATACTCGTTCCATAAGTCTCTCAAACGTCGAAGGCGCGTTGCATAGCCCGAAAGGCATCACACGCCAACTGTAAAGGCCGCCCCTTACTACAAAGGCCGATTTCTCCTGTGCCTCCTCATCCAGGGCCACCTGCCAGTAGCCAGATGCGAGGTCCAGCGTAGAAAACCACTGGGCCCCAGAAAGCGCATCAAGGGAATCATCAATCCTGGGGATTGGGTAGGCATCCTTGATCGTTATGGAATTAAGTCTCCGATAGTCAACGCAGAACCGCTTGCTTCCGTCCTTCTTTTTGACGAGCACTACGTTTGAAGCCCACGGGCTACTTGAGGGTACAATCCTTCCGTCCTTAAGCAAGTCCTGGACTTGCCGATTAATTTCCTCCTGTTCGACTGCAGGAAATCTCCTGGGTCTCTCTCGCATAGGCCTTTTGCCCTCTGTCGTTATATGGTGTTTTACGCATTCCGTGCGTCCATTATCCTCACTACCCTTCGAGAATACATCCTGAAACTCGGTAAGTAATCCTGCCACCTCCACATGATACTCGGACTTCACTCCCTCGATGCTCCGGTTGAACAAGTCCTGCAGATGTTCAGGCAACCGGTCAGGTCGTCCTCCTTGTATGGGTTGATGTGGTTGCACGTCCTCTTCCGCCACCTGACTAAGCAAACCAGCCATACTGCCGGCCTTAACAACACATACTCTCCTTCCTGGGTTGAAAACCCTTATTGGCAAATTATCTTCCTCAGGCTTTACCAAAAGCCTTGCAACAATCAGCCCCTTAGCCGTCAACTCTGTACTCTCCGCAGGTTCCATTATCCCGAGCCCAGTAAACTTCCGAGTCACTCTCCCTGATACAAGTGCTTCGTGCCCTGGTGGCACTGATATGGTCTCTCCTACGACCACCCGGGCACAGAAATTATTGCCCTGTTTATTCACACACTTAATCTTCTGTCCATTCAGGGCAAGGACTAACTCCTGAAAATCTAACCGTCCCCTTGTCGGTAGGAGGTAGTCCATCCCAAGGATTCCATCCATCTCCAATTTGGCAAAGATCGCCCGCACTGGGGAGGTAGTCTTCCCAACTTGAACCTCTAACCACGCTCCACCTATCGTCTCTATGGAGTGACCGTCAGCTCCATACAGTCCTACTCCCTCCGTGCTCAATGTTGGCCTCTGTTCCTTCGGTATCTTGTAGTATACCGCCGTCGAAATTATTGTGTCTGTCGCCCCTGTATCTATTAACATAAGTGTCTCTGCTCCCCTCACACGTGCACTCACATAAAGTCCTCCCTTCCTTTGGTCCCTTGAGGGAAGTGTAATCCCCTGAGGTATTCCTCCTATTGTTTGTGGTCCTTTCGAATCGTCAGCCCACCCTTGGACCCCAGGGAAGGCTGTTTATCGTTTCCCGACTCTACGTTTTGTTCACGTTTGGGTGCTTTACAGTCCCGTGCAATATGTCCCTTTTCCTTGCAACTGTAACACTTGTCGTTCTTTGGTGCAGGACAGTTCCTAGCAAAATGTCCCGAAGCTTTGCAGTTGTAACACACGTCCTGTGTTCTGCCTTTCCATCCCTTTCCAGATCTCGGTCCAGAATCATAACCCACTTGTTTCTCCTGGCTACCCTTACTGATATCCTGTAGCATCGACTGGATTTTTCCAAAGGCTTGTCCCATGGACTCCTGTGTTTCTCTTATCTCTCCCTTCAGTTCCTTCATCGTAATTTCGTCCTTGCCTTCTAGTACTCTAGCAAACTTCCTAGCCTTATCGCTAGTCCTACGATCCTCTGTCTGCAGGAAACTCTGTGTTTGCAACGCCGCCTTGATCGAATCATCAAGGGTGGCAGGCTTTGAACGGAAAATACCCTCCCTGATTTCTCTGTCTTTCACGGCGTCCATGAAATGTCCCTTCGCCAGTCTCTCTCTACTCTTGTCTGAGAACTCCGGGTACGCCAATGCTGCAAGTTCTCTCACACTGGCTCCGAGCTCTTGCAGGGTTTCAGTCTCGCCCTGACGAAGATGACGAAGCTCCATTAGATGGAAATCTGCCTGTTGTCCTGGTCCAAAACGTTGATCTAGTCTGTCCAAAAGATCCTTAAGTGAAAGTTCCTTCCCCTCTGGTTGGCATCCCAGCACCTTCAACGCCTGTCCCTGAAGGCTGGCCGCTAAGAATACAGCAGCCTGGCTGTCCTTCCATCCATTTGCTACGCAACAAGCTTGAAAATGTGCCTTATAGTCCTTCCATGGCACTTTTCCACTGAACCGGTCAGGACAAATATTCGGTTTCCTAATTCTGTCCTCACTTGTCTTAGTTTCCTTCGCGGTTACCAAGGATGTCTCCTCCGTTTGTCTAGTGTTTGCAGGTGTGCCTGGTATCCCTAGTATTGAACTAAAAGTGCTTGAGACAGCAGGAGTTGGGGTGAACAGTTCCGGTGTTTCAGTCCTGCTTATTTCCTTATCCTCGATGATTGATTTCATTTTCTGTACTTGTTCCTCAAGTTCCCGTTTTTCCTTGAGTGCATCGTCGTACATGTTTTCGGCCTGGTGTGCCTCCATCCTCAGAACATCCAGCTCCTCCTCCATCCATTTAGAATCCATCACTGCAGATGCAGTCTCCTGAAAGTGTCACGCCTTATCCCACTTCTGACACCAATGTGGCGAATCCCGTCCGGGTCAAGTTTGACTCGGTACTGCACAGGCGAGCGGCAGCCCTACAGCACTGTGGGGGAGGTCGTTTGGCAACCATATATCGCCGCGCGCAACACTTTTTCCCGGGACCCTATGGAGCGGAGATAAATACCAGGCAGAGCAGCGCAGGAACCCAATAATCTGACAAAGAGAGAGATCACTCAAGAGCCGCGGGGTTTTCCCTTTATTATAACTAAGACGCCTTAATCACTTCAGTTCAGTTGCAGATTCCTTAAGGGATTGCTGTTCCTTAAGGTATAGCCTTGAGGTTCCTTAAGGGTTTCCTGTATCCTTAAGGGATATAATCGAGTTTCCTACTGAGCCTTAGAATTACTGATAGAGAGGTTTATTACTGAAGGCACTTAATAGAAATTATTACTGAATGTGATAACTTGTGGGGAGGTTCAACAATATCGGTCCTGAACTGTGCTCATCACTAACTTTATCAAATACGTCAGCTTGACATACCCCGCGCTATGAGCTGCTGCAACTAGATTCGGCAAACCGCCGCCGCCACGGACTCTCTGACACGGCTCCGACAGTCCCGCTGTCTCGGACACTCCGATCAGCCTCTCTCACGCTGCTCTGGGATCCGGCGGTCGGTCGCTATACCGCTCCGCCTCGCTGCTACCAGCTCCCACTACACACCAACAGCAACGCTGACGCACACAAGCCTAGCGCCCTACAACAACTCTCTTAGAGCTCCGCCGTCACACGTCTCTTCAGTCCGCTAGCTCCACAGCAACTCCCGCCACGTACACACACGAGGCACAGCGCGCGCAAAACAGCTCAAGGTCACCTAAGCAGCCCACTGCGCATGCTCAGCAAGTATGGCACGCCTCAGCGCTATGACGCGCGAAAGCTACAAGCACTCGGGCCAATTTCGTTACAATTTGCTAAACTTCTACGTGTACAAATGCTTCAGAGAATCCATCTCAACTGAAACCATCTTCACTCCTACTTCTTGCATAAAGGAACCTTGCAATTAATTCTGGGTCTAACAGTGAAACTTTCCTCAATCAACTGTCTTCAACTGAACACTAATTCATCAATCAGAAACATGATCTCACAGTTGTCTAAAACTTCATGTTTCAACACTTATACAAGTTTCACAGAATAAATGAATGCAATGAAGGAACTTTGAACCTTAACTTAATAATGAACTTCTTCACAAACTTTGAGGAATCGAATGTTTCAGAACTTAACTACTTATTTCCTCAAGTCTCAACATTAACAGTCTAAAGAATTAAAACAACTAAACACAATACAAAGGCTTAAATCAAAGGAAATCTATGAATGTGAATTATCAGAAATGAAAGTTAAAATCAACATACCTGTAAGAAATAATGGAGAGTTGTCAGCCAAAGATACAGAAATGCATGAGGACAACTTTATTGCAGATGTTGGCAGGGTCATTGCTTGTAAGAACAATGAAGCCAACTTCCTGTCCCTTGCTGATGTGGCAACTCTTGGATCAGTCCATTATTTTCAGAGGTAAAGCAAAGTCTGGACTATTACATTATAAAAGGGGAGGGGGCAAAATTGAAAAAGGGGTTGACCAATTTCCATGGCCTCTACAAAACTGTAATGAAAAGGGTTTGGCATCCTGATGAGAAATAACAACAAAAATCTTGAATATGTATGTAATATGAAACTTGAAAGAAGTGTTATCTGGCAAGCACTCATTGCGTGTGAAAAGGTTTCTGACTGTCAATAGAGGGCGCTGTTTCTCATGTTTTTTAATTTTTCTCATGCAGAATTTTGGCGTTTTTATCCCAGATTTTCTCATTCCAAAACAACCTTTGGATCAGGGTACAAATTTGCTTAGATATAGTACATCATAATCTACATATCTGGATAGCAATATAAAATTCGGCGGACCAGATCGCCTATCTCGTAAACTATAGCATTTTCGGCCTCTCGTCCCATGGACTGCAATGGCTGCCATGTAAGAAACGCCCTTTTAAGATGTTTGTACAGGTCTGTTTACATATGGGAGTCTACTGTACTTTTTTATTAACATGAAATGCTGACAAATTACATTCTTCTATTAGGTTTCAGCTTACGATGATATTTTTATTGCCCATACAGACTGGGCTCTCAGAATCATGTCTCAGTAATGTGCACAAAATTTGGCTGGAAATAAATTTGTTTCAATCTTTGCCGTGAAATAGGGCAATTCACACTCACAGTGTAATTAATAATGGAGTAACTTTTTTGTATCATGTTAGTGATGACATTGTCCAGTACATATGCCTTGAAGCTCCACCGTTGAGACCCCGTGGAGCCCGCCCGCGTCTCTCACTTTATCTGTCTTCACAGTTGATGTTTGGTGTTGCCAGAGTATATGGAAAACAGATGGAGTATTTAAATGGTAAGGAGTATTGTTTTAAATAACATATATACTTATGGAGGTCACCTTAGCCAAATAGAGCATTGGGTTCTTGAAAATACAAATAATTCAAACTGTATAGTGGAAAAAACTTGTGGATGCATTACGTGGTGCTGATCCTGAAAGGAAAGGGGAAATCGTTTTTGGTACATAAGGTTGTGTACAACACTTAAATGTACTGGTAGTCTTTAATTACTACCGGTAGTTGAGACTGTACGAACAATCCTATGGAGTAAAACTCTGAGTAGGCCGGGTAAGGTAATTTGACCACTATGTACCATCACAGGACTCTAGGTTTTCGGCTGGTGGTTTAGCGGCCACAGTTGCTAGTGGTGTAAATCTGGGTCTGCTGGGGGGGAGGGGGGGGGGTAGTGGAGGGTTGGACGGGGATGACCATATAGCAAAGTACACTTGCCCGACTGAGAAACTTGATGGGGGGGGGGGGGGGGAGGGAGCCCGGGGTTCGAAACAAATTAAGTGACAGATTGTTTGTGGCAGGCCTTTGAAAAGAAAAGGTTTTGTACAACTGTCCTGTCTGTCACACCGGCGTTAGTGTGATGTAATTAACTTAAACATCAAGTGTGGATTTTATACCTCACATTGCCAGTCTTGCTGCTAATTATTTCCAGTAGATAAATCTGTGCTGGTGAGTTGGGGGATGGGATGATCAAACTAAAAAGAATTGCCCGACCATGGAAATTCGAAATGGTGGGGGGGGGGGGGGGGGGGTTGGCTGGCGGTGGCTGGAAACCACATTATACTAGGGGCGCTGTTCATGATACATTTTTCATGTACATCTTTATGTATACGCACTGTTGCATAAAACGGTGCATTTTATGTTGTTACTTTTTTCTAAAGGGAATATACATCATTTGCTTTTGCTGTAATTTTCAGAAATGGATGGAATTAGGGGGTTGGAAATATATAGCAAATATAGTTACACTGACTTTTTGAGGTTTTGGGTTTGAAAATGCTATAAAAACAAAAAAAAAACAATCATTTTCCTGTAGTCTGGTTCCCTGACTCCATATAAGAAGAAACAGAGCAGTTTACATACATTGGGGAATTGTAAGGTCAGGGAACCAGTCTAGCTGGCTTGTACCCGTTCATAGGTGTGTAATCGATTGCAAACAAGTGCGATGGTCAATTGGGGCCAGTATTTGAAAAAAAAAGCCATTTTTTTTCCAACGCTGGTCGGCCGACCAGCGTTGGAAATTGATACAAAAATACCACTTTTCTTGAAAATGACAGTATACCAGGTGCCATGATTTTACAGGATGCTGTACACTGTCATTCACTAACAGTCCAGCAAGGTATTTCAAAATGATTTGGTAGTTTTATTTTTTGATGTTTGCAAATGTTGTATTTTCCCTTTAAGTATTATTATATTGGTTGTTGGAAACTTCGAAAAAAATACATCATATAATCAACATTTTTTTGTTTCTCCTCACAAAAAAGTGGGGGGGGGGGAATGATTCAATAGCCAATCCCCTCCCCTTTTTCAAAAAGTGGAGAAGGGATATATGCATTTATGCCCCTGATTGTTTCAAACACAGTTACACAGGCATCACACAGTTAAAACTAGGTTTTTGTAAGCTGACTTTACATTTGTCTGATACTTCAACAACTTATAATGTTAAAGGCTTATTGAGATTTAAACCATGCAAGTCAACGCTCTCAGGCTATAGTCAGTGGGCTTGTGGTAGCCCAAAGGCATTTTTGGGTACATTCTTTGAAACTCTCGGGATCACTAATAGATACCTCAAGAAGTTCAAAACCACTTAAAGCCATTTTTCTCTGACCCTTTTATGGGCGGGGCCTTGACTTTAAAAGGTGGGGGCTTCATGCGCAAAAACTTTTTAGCATTTGGACAGCCCACCCAAGAGCTACATCAGGAAAAAAAAATTCCAGAAATTTGCCTCTTTGGGGTGGGGCCACATTTTATGAAAGCAGGGGGCATATGTCATTAACAGAAAATCGAGCTGTAATGGACATTTTTTGCGACTGAGACCCAATTGTCATTTTATTAAGAAATAAATAACATGCCCTATGATGTTCAATTGCTTGAAGCTTTGGCCAATAGGGTTAGGCCTGCAATGTATTGGTTAAAACGATAACTGAGCATATAAAAAATGGAACCAGCATTTGCATGACATACCGGTGCATGTATATGGACAGAAAATGTTTTGCTGTACTGTAGTCGGTCACAAAGCTAGTGCAATGAACGCAACATACAAGCATGCGGCTTACTTTATCCCACTATTTCAGCACCAACACACTCATGGAGTAACGCCAAATTGCAATCAGTACTTATTTCCTCCTTGTTTTGTTTACAAGGGCTAACACGTAAGAGAAAAAAAATGCTCATAGTTCAAACGAGTAAGGCAGAATTGATCAATAGTGGGGAATAGTGTTGCTGAGTAAGCTAGGAAGTGCATGTGGGCTGGAGAGAGTTTACAACTTGCTTTCAACGATGAACTTGCTTTCAACGATGTATGCTCTGGCTAAGTTGTTCTTTACAAAAAAATTATTATAGGGGGCGCCCTTTCGAAAGATGAAGTCATCACACTTTTTTTGTCTGGCATTCCTCACTAAACACTGTCATAATTTATATGTGTGTAGTAAAATGCTTCTGCTTTTGAGTTACATTCGGTTTTTATTGCACTTTCGGTAACACCGGAAGTGAAGGTTTTGTGTCTGGGGACAAGATATGTCTCCCACGGCATACAAACAAACACAATACTCTATTTAGTTCAAAAGATATAGCGCAAACTATTTTGTCAGAATTTGCCCAAAAATTGCTTGTAATTTGAAACCTGATGACATCATGATGACGTAACAAAATTTATAAAATCTTCGTAGCATGGTACAAGTTCACATTAGGTTTCAGGATCATACCGCAAACCCTTTGGAAGAATTTCTGCTTTGTTTTGATTTCAGGCTAAAGTCTTCATTTTGAATTCACCTAACTTTGACCTTCCGGTAAACCTGGACTTAAAAGTCAAACGAGTTCACGTGCACAACAAAAAATCTGATTGCAGAATACAAACACTATTGATTATGTTGTTCAAGAGTTATAGGTGAAAGTAATTGGTCACTTTTTCAGCTAAAACCGCTTGTAATTTGACACCCAATGACGTCATCATGACGTCAGAGTAATATGACCACTACGGATGAGGGTCGATGTATATTGAAAGTTACAAGTTCATATCATAAACAGTTTAGGAGAAAAGCCGCGGAGAAGTATTGTCAGAAAAAAAGAAAGATTTATCAGAACAATAACAGAGAGTGGTCGTGTTGACCTTACATTCCCCAAAGTGTATTAATTGCTCCGTTTTATCTTAAGTGGGGTCAGGGAACCAGACTACAAGAACATGACAGGTTTTCTTGGCTTTTCAAGCATCTACAAGCCCAAAACGTGAAACAAGTCAGTTTAACAATATCTTCTATGTTGTATATATTCCCTTAAAACGGTGGTTGTTTTTTTAAATTCCTTAACTCGAGAATAAGCTTTATGTGGCCTCTCTGGACTCACATATATTTGCACTAAGTTTAGTCGGGCACCATTTGCAGTCATCAGCCGACATTTGAAGCAAAAAAATCAGGTAAAAAAAAAAAAAGCCGCGTCGCCGCACCACTTTTTGGGCAAGCTCCATACCAGAAACCAGAGACTTTTTTTTTTTGCCTTACGGCCGGATGAATAACAACTAGCGCCTTGACCAAGGCTAAGGAAATTAATATTGCACTCCATTCCCCTTTTTAAAAACGGACTTTGGACATTTTTTTTATTTCAAAGGAAAAACACTCAACCCTATTAAAGTTTTCTGAATTGAGAGGGTCAGCCTATTCTTTTCCAAGGAAAGTAATGCACTCGACCCCCCTTTCCAAAAAGAGGGGTCGGACGACTTTTTTTAGAAAATTTATGGGCGAGTGTTATTCCTTTGAAGAAATTTTCCAACCCCCCTTTTTTAATAGGATGGTCGGGTGCATTAATTTCCTTTGGAAGAAAAGGCCGTTCCCCTAAAATAAGAAAACTTAATTCAGAAGGGTCAAGTATTTTTGCTTTGAAAAAAAGGGGAGGGGAGGGGAAGGGTCGAGTGCATTAATTTCCCTTGAAAGAATAGGCTGACCCCCTCAATTAAGAAAACTTAGAGTCCAGTGTTTTTTCTTTAAAAAAAAATAAAAAATAACATGATTTTCATTCAT